AGATGGTGAGGAGGATGACCAAGTGCCTGATGCTCTCTCTGACTCAATGAGTGACCTCACAGAGGCAGAGAATAAAGCAGCAGTTGGTTTCTTTTTCAAGGTTGGTGGCTGACACATATTTTCACAGTATATATCTGCATAGAAAGTGTGCTATAATTGGTGTGCATTCATCCCTTTTTATTATTAGGATGACAAAGATCGACCGGAGGATGAAATGGCTCAGCGAAAAGCAGCTTTTCTTGAAAAACAGCAGAAGAGAACAGAAGAGATGAAAAGACGAAAACTTGAGCAGGAAAAAGAAAAAGAATCAAAGTGAGACCAGTTTCTGAATATCTTTAACTTAATCATTTTTTTTTATTTTAAGCAGCCAAAGGGTGCACATAATTTGGATTTAATAATTTATTGTTCTGTGTTTTATGACTCGAATTGTTGCTATCATTAATCCCATAATTCAGTCTTGTTGCATTTCATAATGTGGCGTTACACATTAAAGGTCTTACACTTCATTTTTAGCAAGCCCCAGTGGATGATCATTGAAGGCTGGGGCAGTAAAAATGAGGACAGACCACAGACCCCAGGTACTCCTCCCAAAACCCCACCAGCAGAAGGCACTCCTCAACGTAGAGGAGACTTCACTAAGCAGGAATATGAGAGGAGACAGCAATTGAAGATCATGGAAGACTTGGACAAGGTTCTGAAGCAGAAACCCACTACAGTGCGTGGTGTCAAGAAGCAGAGACCTAAGACTATGTTCAGAGATGACTCTGTGCTCTCTCAGAGTCCTGTCAAAGGTTTCATGGGTAAGTACTTCTGACTTTAACCAGTAAAATTCCCGGCTTTTGTATTCTCTCTTCCTATGCTCACATGTACAATATTTCCTACTTGTAGGCACTAAGCTCAACAAGGTATACTCCCATTCATCCATGAACCTGTCCTCCATGGCTAATGACCCTGGCGGTATGACCGTCAGGAAGTCACCCAGGTAACCTGCAAATTGATAATGACTTGATGTATTTTCTTTTTTTAAATGGTTAAAAAGTGGGAAGCACAGAATTTAGCCTGAAACATTGAAATTTAGCCTGTGTTTAAAGTCTCCACTCCAAACTATATACCAGTTTTTAAATTGTGTTGATAGGCCAAGTAAAAAAAAAAGCGTTTTTTGTTTTGTTTTGTTTTGTTTGTTTTCTTCTGAATACTACCGTCACATTTAGTGCGAGAAGAAAACTGCAATCGAAAAATCATATTGCAGCATGTGACATTAGGTTGTTAAGGAAGAGGAGAAAGTTTTAGGAGCGATGGTAGCGAGTGAGCAAGAGAGAGAGTGATATTGATAGCGAGTTTTGATAGTTGAGAAATTTGTGACGTTTAGCGTGTTTGGAGTGTAGTTGGTGTGTAGTCATTGTTTTGTGTGTCAAAATAATGAGTGCACTGTTGAATGTCACATTTGCTAGCCAAAAGCCATTAAAGGTAGATTGAAATGTAAGTGTTGTCTCCAGGTGGAAAACAGGAGGAATGTTGACAGGTCTGCAGGTATTATCCCTGTGATATGCGCCTCTCTTTTTGTAGTTTTTTTTTTTAATTTCACAAATAATTTGTATGGCACCTTATTGTTCTGTAATTTTATTTTTAGAAATAGTTTTAAATGGTTGTACAAAAGACACCTGAGGTATTGCATGCATTTTTAGGTAAATAGTTACATATAGCTTTGCTGTTTGCAAAATTTGTACATTTTTTTTTTAAATGTACAATTTCTGTTTGCATTTTAAGTTATGAAAATGATTTGTTAAACATGTTTTTTGCTTTCACAGTAAAAAAATTTTCCTACTTTGATTTTATTATTTTTCTGTGATTTTTAGATCATTTGTGTTAATACAGTAAGTCAAAATTGAAAAAAAAAATGACTGTAGATTTAGACATGTGAGGTTGTGCTGAAAAGAATGATATCAAATAAGGTAAGGTCAATAGTTTTTAAAGTTGAAATATTAAGGTAAAATCAAAAGTACTGAAAAACAGCCAATTTAACCTTGGACCCCAGAGGGTTAAAGTTTAAAATATTTAATAAGTGGGTGTTCTTGTATCATTGATACCAAATATAGATGCAGTTTAGTCTGTGTTATCAGGTGCAAATGAAAAATAAAGCCTCAAAATGTAAAAAATGCTTCCTCTGTTATCTCTCTAGTCGTTCACACTCTCCTGCCCGATCACGGGGAAGGTCCCCAGGACGAATTGGTGTTCAGAATGGAGAGAAGGACTGGGAGACTGGCTCCGCTATTTCCTCCCCTGCTTCTATCCCAGAATATACAGGTCAGTCATAATTTCCACACAAAAAATTGTAAAAATGAATGCTGCAAGCATTGTTTTGTTTGCTTTATAGCATTTGGAAATGTTGTGTTTTGCAGGACCAAAGCTGTACAAGGAGCCTAGCTTTAAGTCCAACAAATTCATCATCCATAATGCTATCACTCGTTGCTGCCTGGCTGGGAAGGTCAATGAACCACAGAAAAACAAGATTGTAGAGGTAAACCATCCCGCTGTGTCAGAGTCCAACAAAAAGCTACACCCTAATTAGGTTATGTAACGCACTTAAAGCCAGGTTTATACATGTTTGGGTTTGGGTTGTCCCAGACAAAAGCTGCTCAACATGAAGGAACTATAGTGATTTTTTAACTTGTGGCTTCCAAATGGTGATACTATGTTAAAAGATGGCTGTTGTAATAGACTTCCAACCAAAAGGCTGTCTGGGAAAAATTCTGATAGTATCAGAAATTTTAAATGACCATCTCACAATGTCACTGCTGCCACGACCTATTTGTCAACAATTCAACATACAGTGATGCACAGATCATTTTGTGAAAAGACAAAACAAATTGAAGATGGAGGTAAAACATGCAAAACAATATGTTTGAGGTGGTGGCAAAAGTGTGGCGGCAAAACCTTTGTGTAATATGACTACCAGCTGTTGTTATGAATACCCTAAGGAGGATGTAGCATGTAAAAATAAGTTGGTATTATCATAACACAACCTGCATGCATCAAACCTAATGTCCTCCCCAAGTTGATTAGGTCCATATACTTATTCTTTTCTCTATATCTCTCTTTTCAGGAAATGGAGAAGAGCACAGCCAATCACTTTCTTATCCTCTTCAGAGATTCCAGCTGCCAATTCAGAGCGGTTTATACCATGAACCCTGAAACCGATGAGATGGCACGGCTAACTGGCATTGGCCCGCGAGTCATCACGCTTGATATGGTTGAGTCCATTTACAAGTACAGCTCAGACCGCAAGCAGTTCACCGTCATCCCGTCCAAAACCATGTCCATGAGTGTTGACGCTTTCACCATCCCTGGCCATTTTTGGCAAAAGCGCCCAGGAACTCCCAAAAAGTTTGGCACTCCCAAATAAAGACTTATCCAATAAAGGTAGAGGTGCTTTTCAGGGAATCCATTCCCAACTTGACTTTTCATTTCCCTTGATTTTGGCCAGTGTGGCAGTTGAGATTGTTATTCAGTTAGAATAACAGAAAACAGATTGACTGACTTTGGACAGCTATCCACGTGGAGCTACCACTACATGCTAAGTGAATGGGCCAAGCACCTACTCACTCAGCCAGTGTGCTTAGAATAGTTTATCTCTGGTCTACCTAGATTGTAAAATAATGCAACTGATTCAGGACAACAACTCTCTCTACCCCCCCC